TCTGCAGAATTGTTCGATGCATAAACACAATAAAATCTAAATGTGCTGCATCCATTCATTGCAACAACTGTTCTTGAGTAATAGGAACCTACATTAGCTGCACGATGGCAGAAACAGAGATACAACTGTGATTGGTGAGGGTGCCACGAAAGTCCCACAACACCCACACCTCCTGCATTTTCCTCTTATGCCAGGAAGCCTGCTAAATTTGAAATGCTTATCAATCTTCCCAACACGCAAGACCATGAGGCCACGAAAATTGCATGCACGCAACTGACCCCCAAACTCCGCCACAATCACATGCTAGTTATCAGGGCATCACAGCAAAACCGCTGCCCACAAGGTGCAGTCAAAATTGGGGAAATATTACACTGACAAGTTAGTTTCACGCCAAAGTGGGTCGCTGCATGATATCATTCACATCAAATACCCAAAAGATGAATTCTACCAACCGAGGAATATCGCCACCAAAGTCAGTTCATTCATGAGCTAGCTTAGAATTAATTCACGAACATACGTGCCCGCACCAATGCTCATCACGCCGAATGTGGGGCAACCGCCCTCGCGGAGATGGAACCGGAACGAGACATCACCTGGTATGGGATTACGGACGGCGCAGCCTCGCCGGACTCGCCGTATGGCATCTCAGGCCACGCCGTCTCTAGCAGCCACTCCCTCGGCACCGGCATGTCCGCCTCCTCCGGATCCTGCACCGCGCCACCCGCCGCACCGTAGCCAGCCCACCCAGATTAGGAGCGGCGCTACAGGCAGCAACGAATCGGAACGTGCCGCGGGGCTCGCTGTCGCGTACCTGGGTGAAGAGCAGCGAGCCGAAGAAGCCGGCGAGGAAGAAGAGGGAGCAGGAGAGGAGCACCACGAGAAGCCGCAGTCGCGTTCGCATCAGACCCGACGTGTGAAGTGGGGAGATAGGGGGTGGGAGATCCAAAGAATATCGGCCGTCGGATGTGGTTGAGTAAGGAGAGAGAATGAGTGAGAGTTAATCTGGTGTGCACGTTTTTAATGTCATCTTTTTCTGTGTGCGTTTTGTAGGGTGGACGTAGTTTAGATCGTGACTGTAAAGGTGGGATTTGTTTGGTGACTGTAGGATAATTTAAAGTGGTGTATTATAGGGATAGAGATAGAGATAGAGATAGAGATTATACATCATCGTTCTTGACATTCCTTCACTTTTTCGGGTAAATTAAAAAAAAATAGTGGGGCACACAAGTTTTTCGATCTGGCCAAAAATGAATCAACTGTTTATAGGACTATATGTATTGTCAGAAATTAGTGCGTGAAAGCAGTTGTAAATATATTCTGTAGGATATATCATCTTCACTAATAAATTCAAGCTATAGCTAGCTAGCTTGTGTGTACTATGCAGTATGCATATTTTTCGATATATAAACAGGAACCATTTTATTACACATTTTGATTTGTTTATTACTCTGTGAGAAATAAGTGTGCTTGGGCTGTTGGGCCGGGCAATCGTCATTGATGGGCGGCCACACTCACCTAGCTAGGTGGAGGTGGAGGCGTGGAGCCCCCCATTGGAACCTGGTACATCATATCTCTGCTCTATTCGTCAAGATTTATTGCAGTTGCGACTCATTTGTTGTGAGAGAAAAACACTGTTTTATGGCTGAAAAAGTAACGATAATTCTGGCTTATAAGCTCAAGCGAACAGAGCCCTCTATCTAGATCGGCCGACTCTGCCGGGCCCAATTATAAGACGAGTGAGTGATAGATATATGAATATAATAATGGAGCCTCTAATTTAATTTCAGAGTTTCTTTTAGAAAAGACGGCAAGAGCTTTGCCGATCAATATTAATTTCTCAGTTCATCCTAGTGCTATTTAGGGGTCAACACGTACATATAGTACCAGCCACAGCACACAATGTTGTCTCAAAACTATATACCCACTAGTCCATCAACCCGTGTTCCCTCACGGGTTAACTTTATATAAACAATAGAAACCCCTATTTGATATATATTAACTAAAAAAATTCTTCATACGACAAACTTTTATTTCAATCTGGAATTACATACGTGTATAGCATTGGCATGTGTGAGAGATTCGTCGTGGCATAGCTAATGATGTAACATTAGTTAGATTCCACTGTTTGGCATTTTCTTTTCCTTCTATGTTTTGTGTCCCAGTATAACTAACTTTGTGCCATATATGGACATGTTGGATGTCTCTTTTTGGAATTGAATTGTGTGGATAACAGTATTGAAAGGTTAGTTCACCTGCTGACCTGCAAATAAAATTTAAATGATTCAATCTTGGATATTGAGATATGTATCTTCAATTGTTTTCACAAATTGTAGTCTTTCTTGATTTGTCTAATAATTTTTTTTGAGGTCAATGTGGAAGTCCATACAATAGATGTTTGGGTTTTCATTTGTTGGTTTCTAATCTTTTGCTTTGTGAATGATTGTCATCAACGTAATTAAGTTGTTGCTCTGATCTCTTGGCATATTGTTATTACATATTTCAAATTATTTGATATGTATTTATTGCAATGTTGAAAAGGAGGTGGCAACACTATTATGTTTCCATCCTGATAAGATGTTGTGCCACTTCTTTCAGAGTCATCTTGTTGATGTAGATGACTTTCTTAGGTTGGTGTGATGTTCTATGATGTAGTTTTTGCTTATCATCAATAGATGTGTGATGTGACAACAATTGGATTGATATATCAATCATAGTATTTAATGGAAAAAGTTACTTGTAGAAGAAAGGAGGAGCATTGATAGATTACCATATTGATGGTGGCAACATCATTAGAGTTTCTGCTTTTGATGGTCGCATGTGATGGCATTGTGTGTCAATGTGCCGTTGAAGCCCTGATGGTGTTTGCTTGTAGATCGTATATATTATTTGGATTCAATTCCACCATTGTCGCATAGATTTGTTACCAGATTTTTTGACCAAATGGATAAGATAGATTACTTAGTTAAAGATGCAGGTTGAACGCTCAAGATAAATACATTAATATTTTAAGATGGGTTGACCAGAGGTTAATATATTTATCAACATGTTACCATAACATATTTTAATTTTATTTAAAAAAGAGAGCAGATTCTAGGCTAAATTGTTATGTACTATAATGACAAAGTCGTTACAAATGCACAACGACAATCAAGATGTTCAATTTATTATATGAAAGAATTAATTTTGTGTAGTACTATTGCTTTATAAAAACACAAAACGCTTACAATTAAATTACCAGTATGTTGTAGTAAAATATTTTAGTTAATATATATTAAACTGGTATAAATAATTTACACGTCATTTAGTGTTTGTTTATTACTATTTACACATGATTTAGTGTTTGTTTATTTATTTATTAAAATAGATTACCAGTATTGATATGCCATAATGTTTTGGTTAACATATAGTAAAATTATTTGAAATAATAGTGGTTATCAGTTTATTTGTCGTAATAACTTATATTATATTAGTATGCGCATGTAGATTTATAGATTTTTTTAATTTGTCGTATAATAACTTCCCAATTTACTTTATAATTATCTTTGTTAATGACATACGAGGGTAGTGTGGATGCAAACTTAGAGATACATTGCATTATCTTTTATAATGACACTTGCGGGTAATTAGATACGAATTTAGGAGTTATTTTTTGAATTATAGTTTATAATAGCAGTGATGCATAATTTAGATATAAAGTTAGAGAGTTATTTATGTATTTTTTATAATGGCAATATAGATAATTTTCTTATAAAATATAAAATATTGCTGAGCTATTATGTATTTGTTTAATGAGACGTTGCGCGGCTATGTATGCATGAGCACGGCCTAATAGAATGCGGCGGTGCCGCCGTTCATCCTTGTTTTTTTTTTCTCTTTCCACACTTTTCCAGCTCACGCTCCTGGCACCTCAGAGAAAATGCTTTGCGAGCCCACGACGGAGGCCCCTGCGATCTTTCTGGATGGAACCAGCAGGAGCTCATACTCTTTTTTAATTTTGTTGGCTATCATAAATTGATCCGAATTTTATTAATAGATTAAACTAACCGTCGACCTGGGCGTATTGCCGTATTTTTTTATTAGTAACTAATTGGGAACGTTTTTCTCCGAGCGGTCAAGGTTTTTTTCTCCGAAAAAATTAGATATTAGTCTATTTTTTAATCTATAATGACATATGTGGGCAATTTTGTAGAAAATAAAATAGATCTAATGGTTATGGATGGCTAGAGTATTTTGATTTGATGGCCAGATGTTTCTGATTAACATGAGAATTTCTAGCATTTATCTTTTTTTTCTTAACACATCTGGTGAGAATCAACGTGGACTCGTGGAGCCTCCGTTGGGGCCTCTAATTAGTAGGGCCGTCCCACAAATTTAATGGGCCCTTGGGCCAGTAAGACACTAAGACAGTATACATATGGGTATAACGCACTGTTAGCAGATCATGGGCCCCTGGGCCAGTAAGACACTAAGACAGTATACACACTACGATAGATAGCAGATCGTGTTACTATAACGCACTGTTGTCTTGCCAGCGTATGGGCTGATAGCATCTACTATACAGTATACATATGGGTACCCTCATAGGCATCGCACAGGCTGCCCCCCCCATAGGACGGGCCTGCTAATTAGTAATAGAAAGATAAGATAAGATCGTTTGGTCCCAAAATAAGTGTACAATATGGATGGACTAGTGAGACAATGACTCTAAGGATGGAGATGGACGGTGATGCATGCCCTGGCGCGACGCAAAGCGGGCGGGCCGGGCCGATGCGGCAGCGACGCCCTAGACAAGGATGCCTTTGTCTGACCGTTTGCAATCGTTTTCATATAATTCCACGGCAGGCGCGGTGCAACGTACCCGGCCAGATGATCCAGTCTCGACGCCTGGCCGGTTTGGATGCAGTACGACCTGCCTTGACACCCGTGGCATCGATAAGCAGAGTGTGTGGAAAGGGAAGGGATCGGACGCAACCTGCTGCCGGCACGCACGATACGTAGCCATGGTGGCCACGTCGTCGTCGTCGTTGCCGCGGTGGGCGCCGACGCCGAGCCCGTCGCAGACGCTATGGCGCTGGGGCGGCGGCGGCGTCGTCTTCGCGTGGGGCGGCCGGCGTCACCGAGGCACGGCGTCGTCAGACGGAGCGGCCGCCGCCGAAAGAGCCTGCGTCGTCGTCGTCCCCAGATCGGGGTGCGAGCTGCAGGTGGTGGTGCCATCATCAACGGCGGAGGACGGCGGCGACCCCAGGGCGTTCCTAACGTGGGAGGACGTGCGCGTTTCGGCGGCCGGCGGCGGCGGCCCTCGCGGAGCGCCGGACGTGAGGATCCTGGACGGGATCAGCGGGCACGCTCGCCCCGGGGATCGGAGGTGCTCGCCATCATGGGCCCCTCTGCAGTGGTGGAGCCAGGAATTAAGTTCAGGGGGGCCGGCCGTCAGGAATTATACTTGGAGGGGCCAGCCAAAAGAGCCAACATGTAAAAACTAAGTGCAACTGAACTCATTAGGTTCCTTGTGACAAGCAAAGTTGTGTTTTATATGATTATATTATCTAAAAGATATTAATAGGTATATATGACAAGAATTTTATATAATCCCCCTCTTAATATAAATAAAAACTATTAAGTCATACTCCGGCGGTGGCAAGACGGCGCTGCTCGACACCCTCGCAGGTGAGTGTGAGTTCGTTCGTCACCGGCCTCATCATCTCCTAATAACTACCCCACCCCACGCATGCACTCTCAAGTGTCAAGTCTCATCCATCCATGCATGCATGCGATTAATGAGCCCGGCCGGCCGTACGTACTTAGTACTTTTACTGATGACAAAACGGCCGGCCGGCCACAAAACAATAATAATCCCTACTACATGTGGATTGTGGACTGCTGGTAGCATGTAGTACATCATATCTCTCTACTGTTTTCTTGTATCTAGTTCGTGTTGATAGCAGAACATACGTTTGGACCAGCCAGGATGGAGTCTTCTTTTTTTTAATTAAAATAAAACAATATATCTAATCACTCATTGGGTCGTACTACAAAGGATGGGATCAGACTCTACAACAGTACTCTCTTCGTTCCAAATTATAAGACAACGTTTTGACTTTTTCTAGATTCATGATTTTTGTTATGCACGTAGGTATACAATTATGTCTAGATATGGAGTGAAAAACTATATATCTAGCAATGTCAAAACGTCTAATAATTTGGAATAGAGGGATTAAGCTATTGCCCCACTCGAAGGGAAATTGATACAAACACGTACAGTACCCTATGTATGCATGGCGGAAGCCAGCTCCTACTAAGTTGAAATGAATTGAAATGCTTTCGTGCGTTGGTCAATGTCCTCCTATGTGCTAAGGTTTTCGTTTTCGAAAATTCACCGACACCCCCGCTTTTCCCATAAGTTTGTCCACGTACATAACCTATATGGAAACCCCATTGAAATCCAGTCTTTGTTTCTTTGGAAACTTCCTTTGATGCGGTCTCCCACCAATCTCCTAGAGAGGGGCAAGGTGGTCTTTATTTAGTCTGAAAAAAAACACTTGGATAATAACTTATATTTCAGGATTGTATGCTTAATTAGATTTTTCATTTGTAGGACCGTCTTCTAGACATCCACGCAAAGGGGTGAGGCCTAGCTTCTTGCCACCCATGACAGAGAGCACAAGAAGTTTGATAATAAGGCCAGCCTCTCCTATTTGCTTTCCTTTCGTAATTATTGATAGCCAGAGCTCCTGACATTGCTCTTCGAATAAAAGTCTATAATAATGTTAATTAAGTCAATCAATTTTAATCACTGAATTTGTATAAAAATATACTAATATTTAACATACTAAACAACTACCCTAGATTTGTCACGTGTTGTATTTTCATAACGTATCTATTTGAAGCTATAAAAGTTGATATTATTTTTTCTATAAACTTAGTTAAAATTATGATGTTTGATTAGAACTAGACTAAGAGTTATATCTTCTTTTTTTGGCATGGATCGGAGGTACTCCAGGCGGTGCAACTCATTCGTATCAGACGCATGCAAACAAAGCATGTTTGCTTTTTTTTTTAAAAAAAATTCTCAGAACTTTTCATGTAAGATATATGAGGTCCTTCGTTTGGACATGCATGTTTCATTCATAATGGTCTCTCATGGATGGGGAAGTAACACAGCTTATTGCTTGCTAAAACAGTAGCACTCCATGCCTAGTAACAGGACTCAGCAAAAAATATTACTACTACTAATGAACCTAGATAATTAATGTTTTACGTAGAGGTTGCAAAAAATTCAGAAATTGCAGCAGAAGCAGTTGCAATCACTGGCCATGCTACCGTCCCGCACCAACTTTGCTTTGACACCATTATTGCCGATGGATCCTACACCATTCAGTGACCACGCACGTGAGTCTCGGCCTCAGCAGAAATCTTCTGTGTATAGGCATTCAGTTCCCGTCCAATCGGAACATTACATTGCTATGACTATATGGTAGCCTCAGCAGAAATCCTAGCTATTAGTAATTCCTTAGTTCTTAAAAAAAAATGAACTTAGTTTTTGATGATTCTTCTTCTTCTGAATGTGTCCATGGTGCCTTTTGTGTTTGTTAGCTAATTAGCTAAAATAGCCTTTGTCAAAAATAAGGTTGTGAACCAAATTTCATTTTCTAAAATCATAGTGAAAATCACAACTGATAGCGTCCGTACTGACTGTGGTCATGAGGTATGCATAGGCTTTGTGTGCATGTTTATTTGTGGTTGTTCAGACATCCTTGTGCTAATTATGCAAAGTCATTATATCACAATGTGCAGCATACGAAAATCATAGTTTTCTACTCGATAGCAGCGCGATTTACACAAATTTCCTGCTATCGTCGATCTGTCATGTTAACGACTACTACTCCTAAGTGTTAGGACATGCATGAGTCAAGTACTGAGGTATGGGGAAAAAAATCAAGCTCGTCGCACCATTATTTGGAAATACAAGGCATATTTTGTTTTGAATGAAAAGGTAAAACTTTGGAATATTCTGATTTCTGCTTAGCGAAAACTGATCCTGCCTCGCATGAAAGACAAGAATAATAATATAATTCCTAGTACTTAGCAAGAGAAAAAAAAAACAGAACAAGAAACTGATATAAACTCTTTACTACTATCCACTCATTCAACTTGACCATCACCTGTGTTTGGGGTATTATATATGGTACTGAAAAATTGTGGCAAGATCGATCCTTTTTTGTGGTACATAAGCATGTACACGTACAGTTGAGATGCTGCAAGCAGATAGCTAGGCCTCATGGTAATACGTGGACGGTGGACCTGATTCTTGGGGCAGCTTGATACTGATTGGTTGCGAGCCTGCTTTCGCATTCACCACCAAACATGTCACGGGAGGCTGATGTGCTCTCTTCGACAGCATGTGTGCATCTCAAGGGTGGGCATAACTAACCGAACTGAGAAACCGAACCGAAAGAACCAGAACTAAATCCGAAAGAACTAGAACTGAAAAAATCAGTTCCTTGTACAGTTCCAGATTGTGAGGAACCAAAATAACCGAGCAAAATTTGGTTCCTACTCTCAGATAAAATTAACCGAAAGAATCGAAATACATGACTTGTACTTCACATGCATGTATTTTATAAGAATATGTTTGATTTATTTGTGATGTCTCATATTGAATTGCTATGTATTTGTGTTACTATATTGCTATTGTTCCCTTATCAATTATTATTATATAAAATAAAGGTAGTGTTGCCTAAAATTGCTTTAAAGCCTGCATATTTTTTGTTGTATTAACCTCTGCTGAAAAGTTCGGTTAGAATCGAAACCGAACCAAAATAACCGAAAACCGAAATGCTCGGTTCCTAAAATTTCATGGAACCAATCAATTCCCATTTTCTAGAAACCGAATTTTATCAGTAACCGAAGAACCTGACCAAAACCGAATGCCCACCCAGCCACCCCTAAGTGCTTCTAATTAATTTGCAGAGATCTCCATCTGTCCCTGGTGATCCACTCTAGATTCTCCACCAAACCGTTTTAATGGATGATTGGAATCATAGTCCTTCCAATTTACTATATAGTACTATCATTTTATTTTTGTTGTTTCATTCAAATGGAACATTAATCATGAGAGCATTCAATTCAAAGGTAACCCTGGATATTATCACCATTTCACTGCAGGAAGGTTAGGACCAGGCATGAATAAAACAGGGCTGATTTTAATCAATGGCCAGCAGGAGAAGCTTGCCTATGGAACCTCGGTAACACGAAGATCATCTGTTCCTATTTCTTATATATACTAAAAGAATACCATAGGCATTGATGCGAAACTTTCTCTCTCTTTTTAACTAAGATGCGGGACTTTCTTAAAAATAAAATGGTTATATGATTGCATATATGATATATGTTGTCAAAACTGCGTAAGCTAATAGAAGAATAAAAGAAAACACTTATAGAATATTATATCGAATTATATGAGAATGTGATGGCCAAGCAAATAGTACAACGCGAACGCCTTATATGTTGATTGACTAAAGATAATAATTGCATTTAGTGGGAGATCGATGTTGTAGCACTTATTAGGAGAGATGATGTGACACTTGATGGAGTATGACATGTGGATATTTTGCATGTAGAAATGGAAAAGATGGGTTTGTTAAGATGGGTTTGTTTTCATACGAGATATTAGATATAGATTGCAGAGGCTGGAATAATAATGGATGGTTGGTGCAAACTCTTGTAGAAGCCGAAATAAAATTTCATTTAAAAAAAAAGAGTTTCTTAATTATAAGCACTGATTGCATTTTTTCACGTAACAAAGGCATACGTGACCCAAGACAACGTGCTCATGTCAACGCTGTCAGTGCGCGAGGCCGTGTACTACTCGGCGCAGCTGCAGCTGCCGGACACGACGCCAGCGTCGGAGAAGCGGGCGCACGCGGAGCGGGTGATCCGGGAGATGGGGCTCACCGACGCCATGGACACGCGCATCGGCGGCCGGATCGCCATGGGCATCAGCGGCGGGCAGCGGAAGCGGCTGAGCATCTGCATCGAGATGCTGACGCGGCCGCGCCTGCTCTTCCTCGACGAGCCCACCAGCGGCCTCGACAGCGCCGCCTCCTACCACATCATGAGCCACATCGCGCGCGTCGCCGCCAGCGACGGCATGACGGTCGTCGCCGCCATGCACCAGCCTAGCGGCGACGTCTTCGAGCTCTTCCACGGCCTCTGCCTGCTCGCCGCCGGCAGGACGGTCTTCTTTGGGACCACCTCTGATGCCACCGAGGTGACCGTGACCGTACCCTGCCCCTGCTTCGTCGTCGTCTTCTTCTTCGGGCCATCCATCTGAATAGCAAATTGTCAGCTGCTGACTTGTGCTCGTCGTTCCTTGCATGCATGCAGTTCTTTACTCTGAACGGCTTTCCATGTCCACACCTGAGAAGCCCGTCAGATCACTTCCTAAGAACAATCAACAAAGACTTTGATGAGGTATATATACTCACTCGATCCTATGATCTGTCACAAATTCAGTGCAACTTCACTTTTCATTTATCTAATTAATATCATCATATATATATATATAGGAAACTGTGGAGAGTTCTACAGCTAACAGGAAAACAGCAGCTGAAGCAATAGACATCTTGGCGACTGCATACAGATCCTCCAATTATTTAGAGAAAACGACAGAACAAATTGTTGAAATGAAAAACATGGTAAGTTGAGCACCCGTACCCACTACTGGAAACGAGAATACCGCACTGACTGCAAAGAGCAATGAGAAATGTATAATTGACCAATCTAAGGATATTTTGACTGCATAAACAATTATTGTTACTCCTTAGTCCTTAATTAATTACTTCTCTATATATATTTCAGGATGGAGCTTCATTTAGGAGGAGGGAACAAGCAAGCTTCGCCACAAAGCTCCTTGTGCTCACAAGGAGATCATTCCTGAATATGCACAGGGACATAGGATATTACTGGATGCGTTTGGCCATCTATATGGGCATTGGCATATGCCTAGGCACTATCTTCTACCAAGTTGGCTATAGCTACAGTTCTATCCAGGTAATAAACTGATTAACATGATTCAGGTAGGGCTATATATAGGACCAATATTTATTTGTCTATGTAAAAGTGATATGTCTTGGATTTTGCAGAGCCGATGTTCAGTAATAATGTATACAGTTGCACTTTTAACTTTCATGTCTATTGGAGGATTTCCATCTTTTGTAGAAGACGTAAAGGTTGATTCTCCCCCCTTCCAAAAAGGTGCTTTAGTTTCTTGCTCAAGACAAATTTATTCACAATTACCATGAATTAACTTTCTGATATTGAAAATAAAAAATACAAAATGAGTGGGATGTTAATTTCACTCAAATTAGAAGAAACTCTATCAAGTAGAGGAACCATATATAAACTAGTGGGTTGTATTTTCCAATATGGAATGCTATATTTTCCCTTTAATTTTCTAAACCAATTAGTAATTAATAAGTGAAAAGTAAGTTCAGTTTTTTATTAGCACATTATTGCTTACAGTTAATTATGACCTCAATTTCGCGCATATTTTTAACTACCGCCATTTTGAGCTTGTTTCAGGTCTTCAGAAAGGAGAGGCTGAGTGGCCACTACGGCGTGTCAGAATTTGTGATCTCAAACACCCTCTCAGCTACTCCATACCTGTCTGTCATTGTTGTATTACCCGGCGCAATGCTATACTATCTCACCGGACTAACTAAAGGCGTGGATCACTTCACCTATTTCGTCATGGTTGTTTGCATATGTTGCCTTCTAGTTGAGAGCATGATGATGGTTATTGCTGCGATTGTTCCGGACTTCCTTATGGGAATCATCATTGGAGCTGGAGTGCAGGGGGTGATGATGCAAAATGGGGGCTTCTTTCGCCTTCCTAATGAGCTCCCAAAGGCCATATGGAAGTACCCCTGCTACTACATGACTCTACAAGAACGAGTTCATGGGTTTGTCTTTCCCAAGTGATCAGCTGATTGAGTCTAATGTCACCATCAGTGGCATTCAGGTCCTCAAGGTTAAATTGCAGGTGGAGTTGGGGTACTCGAAATGGGTAAACCTTGCGATCCTTTGTGGAATGATGGTGACATACAGGATGATATTCTTTACTATCGTCAAGATTGCTGAGGAAATTCGACAAAAAATGGGAGGCAAACGAGGATGTGTTAGATAGTTGCCTTCTACGTGTGTTTCTACTTTCCCATTCTTCAATCACTTTTCTGGCCCAATTGTATTAACTGTAAATAATAATGATTTGGTTTTTCTCGCTATGCCATCTTAAGATGGATGGTATCCCATGATGTTACCAAAAAATGAGAGACGACGATGAACACATCGTCGGCAAAAGCTCACTATGCGCGCGTGCACACACACGGTCGGCGTTGGATTTAATAATGGGCTTGCTCTATTTTAATTCAATTAAATCAAATAAATCCTAGGACTCATAACAAAGGTTACGTGCATTATAGTTTTAGTCCCAAATTGGGTTTTGACTGTATATATTTAGGGGTGAAAACGGTATGGATATTGTCCGACCATATTCGAGACCGAATCCGTTTAGAGGAGTTCAGATCTATCCGTATCCGAGTCCGTTTATTCAACATCCGATACCGTATCCGTATCCGAATACTCAAATCGTATATTTATGATGTCGATATCCAATCGTATCCTATCCGACATAGCTGACACTATCCGTATTCGAATTATGAAAACAAATGTAATATCAGTGATATCTGTTCGTATCCGATCCGTTTACATCCCTAGATATATTGACTTAACTTGGGTGGACTGTGTGGGCTTATATTGAGAAGTTGAGAGAGGATTAGAGCGTGCCACACGCGCATGCTGCCTCCGAGCTGAGCCGAGGCGTGGCATGGCGAGGCCGTACCCAACCGACATGATGTGGTGCGGAGGGCGGGTTTGGTTTTGCCACTAAAGCTAGTTGATGACACAGGAGTTTATTTTCGGAAGTTTTGGGAGTTTCTGCTCGTGATGACATGACTTACGGGAGAGTTTCTTCCGTGAGCGTCGACTCATCCCGGCATTCAGTTATCAACCTTTTATTTCTTAATGGCTAGAAGCTTATGTATAATCTGTATGATCTTTTTTGTTTCTTTCTTTGTCTCATGAGACGGCTCTGTAAACTTTTAATTCGTTATTTAATAAAATTCCAGTAGGGGGCAACCCCTACTGAGTACAATTAGTTTCATATGTAGATATATGTATGGTTACATATACATGTGTTCATTCATGGGGCGGAGCGGTTTTATAAGACCGGTAATCGTTATACATATCGAGATGAGATAGTTTTTCACCCTCGCCAGCACCACATGACGTGAGGTAGGTTGAAAAAACGTAGGTAGAAAACTACTTATAACGTATTGTTATTGTGATGGAAGTGTGTTTATTCATCGGAGATGTCAAAAGACGTCAAAAGGCTGGAACAATTTTATATAACTAGTAACAGTTATACATATTGGGAATGTTTTTCACTTTCGTAAAGCACCACGTGACGTGAGGTAGGTTCAAAAAATGTGGGTGAAAAAAATACATAACACAATATCTATTTAAGTGTGCTTATTCATCGGATAAACCAAAAGATGCTAAAAGGTCAAAACGGTTTTATAAGACTAGAAACTATTATACATTTCAGGAATGTTTTCCACTCTCGCAAGCACCACGTGACATGAGGTAGGTCAAAAAGATGTGGGTCACAGAACAAAATATTATAATTAGCACCTAAGACATATTTTAAAAGGAACAACCTTAGATATAGGAGTATATAACAAGTGTGGGTTGCAAAATGCACATAAAGTGATAATATAATTATCTACTCAGATATAACTAGTCTGATTTAATTGGCTTCCACTAAAAAATGCTTGATTTAATCCTTAAAGTATTTGTACTTTCTTTTCTTGAGTGTTTTTAGACTGTTGGAGATGGAAGTAGGGTGGCATGGAGGCAAATTTGGGCAGAGCATACAAGTGGGGAAGGGATGCAGTGGACTGGGTCAACGCCGCCACCCTTCCTGTCCCTTTCATGAGAAATGTTCAGCTTGGAGGTGTCGGCATTAGTCTATCATTACAAGTACTTATCCAAATCTTTTCAAAAAGTCATGTTACCTGTAATGTACAGTAATACTAAAATCAAATCTGTCTGAGTTCAGCATGAATGTGTCCATCAGCTGTGCATCTTCGATTTTGGGGATTCTTGACAGTGTGGATTCACAGCAGTCAATTCGGTTTTGGGTATGAAAGGGAAAATATATAGTTTTAGTAGTATCCATTATTCCAAATTACTTGAATATTCTTTTGACCATCTTGTCATGAGATAGGAGCAGCCAAAGCTATTTCCAGGCTACCGCTAGGCAGGGACGACGTAGGCCTTATTCGCTTGTCTTATAATTCGTACTTTTCAGCTTGTTTTTTTATTCGGAACAGTATTTTTCTCTCACAACAAATCAGCTGAAACATTATTTCATCTTGCTTTTTCAGCGAAGCGAAAAGCCCGTAGTGTGCTATGACCGATGCAATGGACTTGTTAGGATTGTACAGGAGACGCTGCTGCTTCCTGGGCCCAAATAGGCTATGGTAGGCCTTTGCAAGCACGGACTCTGCAGGAAAGCCCATCAGGCTCGTTGTGTCTGTAAATCAATTTTTCTAGAGGTAGGCCTTTTCCCACCTAGGAAATAAATCGATTCCTTCTAAAGATAATAAACAAAATAAATTAACGAATGAATGAAAAATAAAAAAAAGGAGCAAATCGGCGCGGCGTGCCTATCTCCCAAAATGAGTCTGGTAAGCAACACCTTTTTGTTTTGCAAGTCTTGTTCAAGAGAACGTACTCGTTATGACACTGGGTGCAATTGTAGCAGAGCACTAATTCAAAGTTTGCCGAGAGCTGGATGCTGGGCGATGCAATTATTTGGTTTCATTTGCATGGACAAATGACACTAGAATTGAGTTTCATTTGCACTACTTCATGTGTGTTTTGCTATATTTTTGTAATATAATTGGTCTGATTTTCTTGTTTGCCAAGAAATAAAGCCAAATGTTTTTTTTTCATGACGTTCACCCAGACATATTTGCTATTTTAAATCTGCATACTTTTGCTATTTTTGCAAAAAAAAGCTAAACTTATTTTCAAAATAAATATGTAAAAAGATCTTGTAATCGCTCTGCAAGCCTAATTGTTCACCGATGCTCGCGTTGCAGCTCTTGTGTGTCCGTGTGCTATATATTATTCCTTTTAGTAAATAGTCTCTGTTTTTGTTTTCGGCCCAGTTGGTTAAAGTTGGGTTTGTCTGCTTTAGTGACATTGTTTTCTATTTTAGCCCATCTAGACGTTTGGATTGGGCCTAAGTTTTCTGTTGTCTTTGGGCTACTGGATTCCTGCGTGTGTCCAGTTTTCTAGCTACATTGGATTGCTTGTCTTCTCCTTTTCTTATATATAAACACAAATTGTGGCACCTTCGTGTAATTGTGTCCAGTTTAGCCACTTTTAATTATTTCTCCTTCTCACATCTACGTACGAGTCCATGCCAATTGCCACAAGGAGTCAAAGAGGTTACATACATGTCATCCTTAATTTCCAGACGTACCAATTAATGTACGTATAGAATGCTAGTCTCCGTTCACTTTTTTCAATCAATAGATTGTTTGCTTGATCGAGCCTATCCAGAAGGTTGACTTTCTAAAAAAAAATCAATCAATCAATAGATTGTTTGGTTAAAAAAAATCACTTTTCCTATAGCGCAGTCGCCTGAATTTTGTCTCTGTTTCAGGCGATGCCTCCTCCGTTGGATGGAGTTTGCGATCCGTGCGCTGGGATGGTTTGCGTTGGGTTCCTGTGCTGTGTTTGGTTCCTATTGGGTCCGGGCGTGATCCACTGCACCCGCTAACACCGTCGCTATTGGTTCCTATTGAGAAAACACGCGATTTGTCCTTCGTCGGATGGGGCATCGACGGCGCGCGCTTGTGCGGTCTGTTTTCCACCCGCTCCGTCGCTGACATGCGGGACCCACTTTACTGTTCAATTTTGGATCGTCGCGCCTGCCGAGAAGTCTCCGCTCCACTCGGTCCACTCCTGTCCATTTCGCTTCCTCTCCCTTTCTCTCCCTCCTCCTTGGCGACGCCGAAGGCGACGGCGACGACAACGGCATAGGTCTGCACGGTCTTCTTCCTCGCTTTTTGATTCGGAGGGTGCGTCGCGGCGGAGGTCAGTAGGTAGTACGGCTCCCTCTTCCCTTTATTTTGACCCATTTTGGTTGCGATTTGGTGGTGTGGATCTGGTGATTTCGATTCGATGGGCTCATGTTAGGGTTTGGTGGTGTGTGGATTCAGAGGGTTCATCGCACCGTTGGTATGGATTAGGGTTTGTTGGATTAGCTGTCATTGTGCCTCTCTGTTGGTAGCTCGCTGGCGTTTGTGGTGAGTGTTGCGGTGGTTGGTGCGCATCCCCTTTGATTTTGCAGCATAGATTTGGAGTTGGATGGGTTTTTGTTTGGATTGTTAGCAGGTGGCATGGATTTGTTTTCTGTGTTTCTCGGTTAGATTCTGTGTACCATGTATCCAATTGAACAATGGATGGCCATTGCCTTATGTCAGTTTTTTGAAAATTTAGGGCTTCTATTGTTCTGCCAAGCTTGTAGATCTAAAGCAGAGCTTGGTCTGTCTTGCTGTGTTATGTGGGCTACCGTGCACATGGCTGTGTCTATTCTCTTAAGCAATTGTAGGTTCTGGTAGGTTATGATTTCAGCCTATGTCAGGGTTTTAAAATTTGTGTTGATTCTGAGGCGGTGAGCTATTGACATGCGTTTGGGCAGTCTAGATTTCGTGATGATTGATTGATTATGTGGTCAGAGCTCCTGATGAGGAAATGGTACTTCAGGATTCCTTTCCCTTGCTTGGAAATGGGTATTTGGTGGGTGACAAGATGTAAAGGGAAATCTTGTGGACCTGATCCATCAA